CAGGGTGCGTGGGGCTCAGAGATTCTGCTTACCTGGCTCCGAGAGCCTGCTTGCCCCGCCCCCAGCCAGAGAAGACCCTGGGCCGTTCAGTCCCTCCTCTCTGCCACCACAGCGACTCAGTCTGCAATGTCTGCGGGGTCTTTGTTCTCTCGTACTGGCCTCCGGGTTGGGTGGGGCCTACCTGGCTCTGTGCTCGCTTTTCGGCTGGGAATCGTGGTGGTATGAGTCTGGCCCACACTCGGACCCAGGAGTCCTGCCGCTCCTGGAGAACTCCCAATTTTAATTTCTCAGAGTTGGAAACAGTTGTGTATTTGGAAATTAGAGATATTAAGGTGATAAACAGCAAAAACTCTACTGTCCATTGGTAGCAGAAATGTTGAAGAGTCCTGATACACTGATGCGTGGAACAGTGAGTAAGAATGAGAGCGAATGCACTTATGGACACAGCATGGGGGAGTCTCATAAGTAGAGCTGAATGAGAGATCCAGGCAGAAAGAACCCTCTCCGGGTCATTTCATTATGTAAACTTCAAAACCCAGCAAAATGAGTGGTGGCTGTTAGATGAAGGAGACCGGCACTCTTTTGAGTATGTGTAACAGGGATGGTGCTTGTGACAGAGAGAAGAACATCAGAGATGTCTTATGATCTTTGTCAAAATCAAATCACACCTGTGTGACATCCCAAATTACCTCTGGTGTGCAGAATGGGATTTCCTGTCCCTTAAAAGGCGTAGGGAACACACTTCTCCAACTCCCACTGCCAAGCTGACGCCTGAGAGGCCAGGTTAGGCCACTGTCAGACATGGCACAGAAAAAGTGGGTGGAGACTGAGCCCATATAACTTACCATGTCCTCTTCACACAATGCCAGGCTGGTTGTAACGGCCCTTAGCCTCAAACAATGGGTGTGCTGTTGCTTGTGCTGCTGCTGGGGCTGCTGATCTTTCACATAGGACTCTGTGTGAGGGCCATGTTTAAGCATTTCCTCACCACAGATATTCCGTCTGCCATGCAACATCAAGTGAAGATGAGAGTTCTGCATTGCTTGTTTCTATATGGGATCAGTTTGGTGAGTTTACTCTCAGGCTCCATTGTGCGCTGGGAGTGCTATCTCTGTACTTTTCCTCACACTGCCTCTTCCATTTCACTTCTCTTCTCAGATTCCTCCAAGGCAGAATTTGCCACACTCTTTTGTATCTCATGTTTTGTTTCTCTTTCTCCTTCCATCTTACTTTCTTTGTCTCCCTTTTTTCTTTGTTCTTTCCTTTCTTCCCTTCATTTTTCTTTTTCATTTTTTCTTACTTTTCTCTTCCCTGCTTCGTTAACTACATCTCTCCCTCCTTTTCTTCCTTTATTCTTTCCTTTATTACTTCCTTTTCTTTTTCCAGGTTTTTTTCCCTCCTGTTCATCCATTTCTCATTTATATTTCTTTCATATTTCCTTCTCTTCTCCCTTCTTTTCTTTGGTCCTTCCATCCGTCCTTCATTCCTTCATTCTTGTTTTTGTACTTTCCTTCCCTCCTCTTTTCTCCTTCTTTCCTGCCTTCTACACTTCCCTCTCTCCTTTCTGCTTACTTTCATTCCCTTCTTCCTTCCCCCTCATTTCCACCCTGTCCTCTTTCTTTCATTATTTCTATTCCTTCCCCTTTTTTCTCCATTCTTTCTGTCCCAGCTTGTTTTCTTTATCCCCTGCATCTTTCATACTTGTTTTTCTTTCTTTCCTTGTTTGTTGCTTTTCCTCCTTGTTTCCTCCTTTCACTCTCTGCTTCCCCACTCCCCACTGTCTCTACCTCCCTCTAATTTCCTCCCTTTCTTTCATCAGCATCAAACATTCATGCAGCATCAACCAGCATGCTCCTTTCTGGGAAGGCGGTGGATAACAATTTTAGACTCATTCACTGAAAATCAAGGGTTTGATGAAGTCTGACACTTCCTATAAAGAAGCTTCCTTCTCCCTCCATGCACTTGCCTTCTCTCAGGTGTTTGTCCTGTTTTCCTACCTTTTTCAAATGTAAATACTTTGAAGGCAGGAACTACGATAATGAGCTATTAATTCCTGAACCCAAGCACATAGCCAGGCATGTCATTGGTACTATCGCATGATGATAAAATAAATGAAGTCAGGTAACATTTCAGGATGGCTCCAGCAGCCAGACCCTGAGGAGAGTTTTGGTGTGGGATGGTGGTAATGAACCAGCACCTGTGACAACCCAGGAGATTTTTGTATGAGGCAAACAACTTGAATTAATCCTAATGTCCCAATCTCTGGGATCTAGAAGAGGCCAAACACCTCTTCCTGATTACATCTGAGGGCAACAGTGAAAGAGGTTAGACCTGAGAAGCATTCATCGGACTTAGCCAGACAATGTATGTCTTCTCACACTGCCTCTCACCAGCTGTGTGATCAGGGGTCATGGGAAACCCATTTTTTCTTAGTTGGATCTGTGAAATGAGAAGGATTGTATCTGTCTCACAAAGTTGACAAAAACATTAGAAGGCATGTTATAGGGATTAATCGGTTGAGGATTGCTTGGCAAAAATTTAAAAAAAAAAAAAGAATGTTATTTCTGTACAATAGATGGAGTTTTTCACCATAGGCCTGGATCACTTCAAGGCTGAGCTCCACCGCTAACCAACTTGGAAGCCTTGCAAATTAGCATCTCTGAGCTTCAGTGTCCCTCAATTATCCCTCTCTGAGGCCCTGTGAGTAACCTCCTGAAGCTACTGTCACTGGCTGCGATCTTTGTGGGCTGCTGTTGAAGAGAAATCCTAAGGATTGGGAAAGCCCCATCTCTCAGGGTTTTGGATATCTGGGACACTTGTTTCTAGTTCTGTGGCCCCAGATTACCTTGTAATTTCTTATAACAAAACAGACCCAAAATATGAGGTTAATGCAAGGCAGGTCCAAAATAACAATGCACTTTAACCATGAAATATCTCACTTTGTGTCTATACTTCACCAAGTACTCAGATAATGGCTTGTTTATAATTAGAAGGGACATATTTATAAACACACTTTGCAAAAAGTAGGGTGATTGAAAAATATGGGGAATGATTTAATTACAAAATGAACACAGTAAATGACACGGCCTTTAACCCCCCCCTCCACACACAAACACACACATGAAAATGCTCCCCTTTATTTTGGACTTATTAATGTCATCATTTTTGCCACTTTCTGGAAGTCCTCTTTTGTGAATGTCCTTACATGGGGTCATCAAAAATACAGGGAATGCTGCTGTCCAGTGCCATCCAACAGATACACAGGCACATGAAATGTTAGGGGAGTGTCCTCATCTGTCTTATACACTGGATGGCACTATGGGACTTCTGGCTCGTCCGCAAGGTGAGAAGGACCAGGACAGGGAAACATTTTGAATCAACTCAGGAAACCTAGGCAAACACAACAGTGAAACTGAAGACGCCCCTGAAAGATACTTCCAGAATTGGTTCAGAAAGAGGCAAGCATGCTAGGGTAAATATAAAGTGAGAGTAGATACTTTGGAGAGAGTTAAGGGCATTGTGCCTTCACTGTGATAAAATTTTAAGAATGTATGCATATATTATACTGTAATCTCCCCTCATATGTAGTCTTTTGCCATTACTACACGCCCTCCTCGGCTCACAACCCAGTCCCCTGATGAGCACATTACTCTTTTCTGCTGAACACAAACACAGCTTCAGAATCCTCCATCGCAGAGCTCTGGGTGTGCAGTGGTGAGTGTTGAAACAGGTGACCAAGCAGCTTTGCTGTTTCTGGCTGGGGAACGTCCAGAAGAGCACCAAAGAGAGCAAAGACAGCAGAGGGATGCCTTGGATAATTGACTTTCTTCACTTCAGTGTACTTTTCCCACTCTAACACAAGCTCAGCTGCCACATTGACAAATTCACTCCATATAAGGCTATAACAATACCACAGAGCAGGCAATTTGTAAACAATAGGATCTGTTTGGCTCAAAGTTGTGGAAGTGGGAAGGGCCAGGAGCATGGCACTCGCAGTGGGTGTAGCGTGGCACTTTGCTTCATCCATTGTCAGAAAGACTAGTTTACATGTGTTTTCAACTGGGCAGAATTCATTCTATCATCAGGATCCCAATCCAGAGATAACTGACCTACTCCCACCTTAGGGAATAGAATCCATTCATCTGGGAAATTGCCTAATTACCTAGGTAAACTTTCACCTCTTAATACTGTTATGTGAGGAACAAACTTTCAACATGCACATTGGAGGGGATAAATATAAGAGCCCAGTTTCCTACATGAACACAACCCAGAGCCCACAGAAATAAAATGAGCAGACTATATAGGAAGGAAGTAGAAGAGAAACATGAGAAGCTTTAGCAGTTGAGATCTGAGACCTGCCTTCCAGACCCTAACCTCCCCTTCACGTCACTTTCTTCCTCTTGTCTCCAACAGGCAAACATACTAGAAAAGATGAGAATTTGTTCTGTTCCCAGATTTGTCCGCATTATACAAGGCATAATATTCACAAAGAAGAAGGACCCTAAATTGGTGGTGACCGACCTGCACTTTGGAACAATCCCTGTGAGGCTGTTCCAGCCCAAGACAATGTCCTGCAGCCCCCGTCGAGGCATCATCTTCTACCATGGAGGAGGTGCTGTCATGGGCGGGCTGGGTAAGGAGATTCCCCATGGTGTGGAAGAGGTAAAAGGACCACGGTATAGGCAAAATTTTGTTGAAGATCTCTGGTGATATACATGGAATGAGTTAAAGGAATCTGTTAGGGGAGCACAGAGAGAAAGTTAGGGGCTTGCTCCCATAGATGGGAATATTAGGTGGTAATTTGGGGTCCTTGACAGCATAGTGGCTTCTCCTTCTCTCCCTATGCACACTCATGGGCACGGGCCTGTCCTGTCTGCATCACAGTGACCTCAGACTCACACATTGTTCTTAGGTCTGCAGGTCCATACCCACTTTCTCTTGCCCACCTCCTTCACTTCTACAGCGGCTCCTTGAATGTTTCTCTGTGCTTGCAGCTCACTTAGCCTCAAAAGCTGTCCCCAGTGTTGGGTGTGGATCTCAGTGGTAGGAAGCTTACCTAGCATGAAAGAGGCTCTGGGTGACATCCGCAAGAGTGCAAAAAAAAAGTCCCCATCACAACTTTGCATGGGTCAACCTCTCAGTTTGGCCATACCCAGCATCCTATCTCATACTCTGGTCTGCTCTGGACCAGTCTCCATTGTCGTGTCCTTCCTTGTTAAACAGATGTGGTGCTGGTGGAAAACAGATGTGACCTTGGTCCACCTTTGTTTGCCTTTTCTGTCTGTTTGCCCCAACTTAGAGTGTGAACTCCAAGGGCGCAGGGAAAACTGCTAGTATCTCTGTCAGTGTGCTCTCGGTACTTAGCTGCAGTGTTTCTTGTTTGAAGGAATGAATGAATAATGAGGTGAATGGATCCGTGAATGGTTGCATAAATGGACAAGTTTGCCAATATACAAATGGATGAGCGTGTGCTCACATACATCCATGGGTACATGGAAACAACTTGAAATTTAACTGAAAACACATCCCATTCAAGTGACCCATCTTTCTGAGCTCTCTTCCTTCTCAGAAGCCCCTAGGGACCCCTCCCTCAGGTCCAAAGGTAAAGGCAGGGATGGGTCAGCAAATATTCCCTGAGGACCAAGGCAGCGATGTGCTGGTGTAGACTCTCTGCTTGAGTGGTGACTTGTGACTCAGCTGAACCCCTCAGTGCCTCTGCCTCCATTTCTCCTCCATCGTCATGCCACCACTCAGCTTGGATGATGGGGCATCCTCTTCACAAACTCTCCTGAACATGGGAACCACCTGATGTGATTTAGGGGAAGATATTGAAGCCATGAACCCTACCCAGAACCATTGTTCCCAGTGGGTGGGATGTGGCTTTCAGGTAGTGGACACTGGAAGATTCTCTGGTACCTCTCTGTGCCACCAGCAGGAACTGGGCAGGATTGAGTGGGAGGAGCATTTGGAAGGCCTTGGGCTCACTACTGGCCCTGCAGCACAGCCCACTAATATCAGTGGATCTGCGTTCTGAAGCATCACTTGTCGTATCCTATTAGTATATGTGTCCGATACAGTCATCATTTATATCCTCAGCAATACGACTACATCAGCTTATTAATATTTCCAGGCAGACATGCTCAACTTGATTTATCTTGGCTTTGTCCACTTCAGATCACTAAAATTTCCTTGGTTTCAATTTCCCCCAGTGTAATATTAATTAATAAAAACCTGATTTTCTCGGTCTGCTTCCTTCTCAATTAATGGAATTGGAGCCGATGTCTGGCTTTTCCCTGGCAGAGCCACAGTCACTCCAGAGATCAGAGTAGAAGTTCAGATAGGACAGAACCCTTCGCCCAGAGCTGTGCTCCTTGGAGCTATAGAGAGGTGCAGGGCCCTCCGTGTGGGTGACCAGAGTCTGGTCTTCTCTTGCAGACTGTTACCACAACGTGTGTGCTTTCCTAGCTCGGGAAACGGACTCAGTGCTGCTGTCTGTGGGGTGAGTTTCTCAGAGAGTTCTCAGCTTTTCCACGGTAAGAAGCAAGTGTGGGGGGTCCCAGATGATTGTAGAGCAGTGAGGAGTCCCTGACCAAGAGGCACTCCTGTGCATGAGGCCCCAACAGTGGAGCAGCTCCACTGAAACCAGCAGCAGCCTAGAAAGATGCCCAGTTCCAGTGAGTGGCAGAGCAGTAGTGTGAGCCAAACGGTTCAGTACATGGCCCACAAGCTGAGGTCGAACGTTTCTGGGCCTATTACTCATAATATGGAAGGGCATACCACCACGTGGCTGCATCTTAGCAGTGCAAAAAGAAGTGAAATAATTTTAAAAATCACATAAATCTGGAAATTTTTTAAAGTTTAAAATAATTAAAATGAAAATCATATCTGTTATAATGATACATATTTCAAACAATACATGCCACATAGGGAAGAGGAAGGATGATATATCCAGCAGTCAAGGTCACACTCCTCTTGTGTTCGGGCAACATGTAGTGGGAAGAGATGGTTGGGTGGAAATGGCTGGCTGAAAGTCATGGACAAGGTCCTGGCTGTGTTTGAGGGGATGGTCCTGTGGATTCTCATTGTGTCGTTAAGTAACTACCTACCTACCAATGTACCCACTGCCAACCAAGTAGGGACCAAGTAGAGGGTGTCTTAAAATATAACTCCAGTCCTCTGGAAACAAGGTTGGCTTTGAATTGATGGACGGGGAGTGGGGCTATGGGTTCTAGTTCCTGTTCCTAGAGATCTCTACAAGTTAAGGAAGAGACAGTTTAGAGAACACAGGTGAGAGAAACTAAGAAGAGCCGTGCTGGAGTCTGAGTGTGTGATGGCCCCATCTAAGCTTGGTTGCTTCCAGTGTAAGTAGAGAGTGCAGCTGTGATTCCAGCAGGTCATCTGACACCGCTGACTCTCTCTGGACACTGAAGAGGGCAGCATGTTTCCAGTATGCAGTGACTCACAGCACTGGTCACTATTGTATCTGAGCTGCTGCCATTAGAGTCCATGTCTCCAAAGACCCCAGGAATAATTAAGGTCCCTTGAACAAGAAGCACAGACAGGTATGAGTGAGAACTTACTCTGACATTTTAAGGAGATGGCTCAGTGCATCTTTAATCAGATATCTGTGGAGACTTGGCCTGTGGGCCAGAGCAGTTCCAATGGAATGACTGGTGGAACAATCAGGCCGAGGCATGTTTTGAGGCTGTAAGAGGCATCCAGTGGGTGATGCCTGGGAGGACGTGCCTTAAGGATCCTGAAAGGGGAGATTTTTCTCCCCTCCTCTCCTTTGCTTTTTCTGGCTGGAATCTACTACCACTGGACTTTCTTTTTAGCTTTTCTGTCCCCCACTGACAGGCAGTGGGAATAATACCTGAAGATTGCATCTTTTGACCAGGAGGTGATAGAGACCAGATTGGGACAAATATAGCAAGCATTCACAGTTTAGCCCAGGGAAAGGTTTATGGGTTCGGGGTTTTGGCTGCAGGGAATGAGCTATTTTTCAGATAGAATAACAAACAGCCCTCTGTGAATCCAAGTTAGGAGGATCGCAAGTTGAAGTTTAGCATGGGAACATTAGTGACATGCTGAGACACTGCCTGAACTGTCCAAAAATGAAAACTAAAAAGTTCTGGAGACTTAATTCAGTGTGAAAGCTCAGGTTTCATTTTCGTTTCAGCTCAGTGTTACAGCATTTGTCTCATATGCACAAGCCACTGGGTTTGAGCCCCAAAACCACTGAAAAAACAATATTTGTGTGACACACTTGGAATACTGGATAGCCACAGTGATCATGTTTCGAGCCTCTGGAATTTCTGTGTATCTGGCATCATTTCCCAGTGCAAAATACACCAGCCTTCTATTTATAACTGAGAAGAGGCTCTACTTTTCTCAGGAACTGCTGAGTTACTCTTACAGGTGTCATCATCATGCATAAGAGTCCAGGCTTTCTGGTGGGGCACTTCTGAAAAAACACAAGGGTGGGGTAGTAGACACACATTCCAGCACCAATGGGCAGTAGATCAAACTCATCCTGTGTCATTGTCTTGGACAAAACATTTAAAACTCTCAAAATATCCCTATGCAAAACTGGGTAGAATCTGACTCAAGGATGGGTTAAAGCAGCAAAGGGAACGGAAATATTATGAGCACAGAGATTCCAGGCTGGTTATCCCAGTTTAGTCACTCATAGGAAATTGGTAGCCCACAGGAAAGAGTCAGTATTCTCAGCAACAGCAGCCTTCAGGTCCCTGGGAAGTAACTGGGGGATCTGTTATACTCCAGGTGATAGAGGTGCTATTTAAAGTCATCTTAGGGGAAAATTAATAATGTATTGTTCATATGTGTGAACTCCAAAACTAGTAATTTTGAATTGACAGAAGGGAAATGAAGCTAGAGAGCTTCCGTAGGTTTGTCTTGGTGAAAATTTTTTGCTTAATACAGACTTTATGCCCCTGTGACTTTACCAGGGTGTCATGAAGGGCCTGCTGAAACATGTCATGCTACAAAGGCTACCCTTATTTTGTTTGTCATTCCAACCTTCTGTTCCAGCTCTGTCCGATCCCGGTGGACACTACCTGACTCAGGACCACCAGTAGGTTCACTTGCCATTTGTCTGTCCTCGTTGCTTGTTCCCCTTCCAAAGACAATACCTTTCAACCTGCATGATCTTGTATGAGGTTTGTGTATGCATGGGAAGCAAAGCATCAGCTGGGAAGTTAGAATCCTGCACAGCCAGGATTTAGGGAAGGTCTTTACAGTAACATAGGAAAACAAAGGTATACTCACAGTTACTTTTTAGAGTCATTCTGAAAACTACCTGAGGAAGGTCTCCTGAGGGCTACAGAGGACATTACAGGACAGATGGCCTGCAGGGACTCTTGTGAACAGTGTTGTTTCCTCTCTATTCCTTAGGTACCGGAAGCTACCAGACTACCATTACCCTATCGTTACCAGTGACTGTTTGAATGCCTCTATCCACTTCCTGAAGAGACTGAACACCTATGGCGTAGACCCTTCCCGGGTTGTGGTCTGTGGGGATAGCATTGGAGGAGGGGTTATAGCCCAAGTCATCCGGGCCTTGATGGGTCAAAAAGATCTTCCCCAGATCCGGGCTCAAGTCGTGATTTATCCAATTATCCAAACCATCAATTTCCAGTTACCATCCACTCAGCAGAACAAAAGTGTTCCATTCCTCACCTGGGACTTAATGTTGATGTTCCTTTGCAAATATATGGCCATTGACCTCTCCTGGCAAGATGCTATGCTGAAAGGAACTTTTATACCCCCAGAAACCTGGATGAAGTACAGGAAATGGCTGAGCGCTGACAATATCCCCGAGAGTTTCAAGAACAAATATCAGGAATCCCAGTTTCCTGGGCCTTTTAATGAGGCTGCCTATTTGGAAACCAAACATCTGTTTGATGTAGGAAATGAACCCCTCCTAGCAGATGATGAGACCATTGCTCAGTTTCCTGACCTCTTCCTAGTGAGCTGTGGTCAGGACATTCTCCGCGATGATGCCTTGCTCTATAAGAAGCGCTTGGAAGACCAGGGAGTCCCAGTGAGCTGGTGCCATGTGGAGGACGGCTTCCATGGAGCCATGGTTTTATTTGATAAGCAGCCTTTCTCTTTCCCATGCTCCCAGAAAATTTTAAATGCTGTAGTCAGTTACATAAAGGGCCTATGACAGCAACACTGGAACCATGAGTAGTGTGAGGACAGGATATCTCTGCCACAGCTGAGGATTCCGTTGAGTTCTATTTTATTGCAGAAGATACTAATCCATCATGACCCACCTAGGGGGAATAAGATGGAGTGAGGAACTGTCTCTATTTCATATTCTAGAAAATAAAAGTCTTTTTCCTTCTAGTTCTCTCATTGTCCAGGCTTACATTTAGAAGGGTTCTCTAATATTGAGAAATAAATATCACAGGAGGAAAGAAAAACACATTAAATCTGTCTTGAAGCCTTAACCTGTAAGATCTCTGCAGAATAAGTGCCAACAACTTATCCCATTGTCCATGAGGAACAGATAATCACCATAACAAAACATTGCTGGGGCCATGTCCCTGCTGGAGGAAGGGTCACTTCATTGCTCCTGTGTCAATATCACTAGTAAAATCTCAGGTCTAAGTGGCTGCAGCTGGCCTAGACATATTCTTGCAACTCATCCTTCCCTTGATCCAAACATCTACAGAGTGGACTACTGAAAGATTTAGAGGAGGTTTTGGAAATCGAGACATGGGGCAGAGGCAAGATGAAACGTATCAAAAAATGGTGCGCTATGGAGAGCCTGGAGCTTTATGTTAACTTGGGTCTTTAATAAGAATTCTTAAGGAAGATATCTAGCTGCCAAGAGTATTTTCTCAGAGCCAAGGGCATGCTGGGAAGCTCTGGATGCTATCTAGGATGTTGAAAGTGCATTCTCTGAGGTATCTAGGCCATCCTCATTTCTGGAAAGCACACTGATCAATGCCACTCTCTCTGTTCCCATGCAATGGAAGGGGGACCTCTGGCTTGTGTACTGGAAAGACCATATTTGCAGAATAGGCCCAAGATTGCTTAATGTACCTTTAGGAGCTGCATGCCCACTGCGGTCCAGTCCCACTCAGTAATGGAGCTGCTCTTTTCCATGCTACCATCATCTCTGTAGGTACCAACACCCTCACCACTGACTGGTGATGGATCCTGGGTTCCTGCAGGTGACAAGGGTCCTGCAATAAGGGCCAGTGTCCACACTGGCAAGTCATTGGTTTTATACCAGTGGAGCCTGAGAAGAAATTGTGTTTCTTGTAGTTATGTCTGCAGCTTTGATGGAAGTAGTATCTAATTTCTGTTTCCCTGTAATACAAACCTCTAATGCTTAGAAGGTATCAGGTAATGAATGTGTATTATGATAAGCTACCACATTTGGTTTCTGTTATTACATGGGAACAGAAATTAGACACTGCTTCCATCAAAGCTGCTTACATAACTACAAAAAATACAATTTCTTCTCATGCTCCATTGGTGTAAAACCAATGACTTGTCAGTGTGGACACGGGCTCTTATTGCAGGACTCTTGTCACCTGCAGGAGCCCCTGATCCACCATCAGTCAGTGGTCAGGGTGTTGGTACCTAGAGAGATGATGATTGCATGGAAAGGAGCAGCTCCATCAGTACTTTAGCTTATGATGTCTTATGACATCTCCTACCCCAAATAGCACTTCCTTCCTTAAAGCACCAACAGAGAGACCGATGTGCCCCAGTAGGCACCAGATTTCCTGTAATGTAATCAGTAATGATTACATATTTTATCATTATATAATGTAACCATCTATGCTGTCAGTGTTGCCATAGACTGTCTGAAGCAAGGCACCTGTCTTTCTCACACATGTAGATCACACTGGGTGTGAACAGCATGGATGAGAGATCACAGGGCCACATCAGGACCTGCTCTCTGCAGCAAGGCACAAAAGAAGTTGATGGGAAGAGCAGTGAGGCTGACTTGTTGGCTGAGGACACTCAGGCTAGTCCACACCTATGGATGAGCTTCAACTTCTGGAGCTGGTGACAGCTGGTTACTCCTGGAAGGTTTCTGTCACCTTCCTGAACTCTGCCTTCCTTCTTCTTCCCTACCATTACTCTTTGTTCTCTCAGAGGGTCCCTTGGCCTCCCTGGAGCCTCTGCCCAGGCTGCTCATGACAGCTGCTTTCTGTCGTTGGTCCAACATGACAGAGATGACACACCAGCTGTCTGCTGTTCCTCTTAACATTCCATGAGACTCAGAAACACCAGCATGTCCTTAAGATCCACTGATCTCCATGGGCCTGGCTGAATCTCAAGCAGGAACATGTAAGAAATCATGGACTCTGCTAGTCACCCAGACAGCCAAGTGTCACAATGCAACAATTGATGAGCAAAAATATCAAATTCTCAGGATTCTTTTGAGGGTTGTGTGGAAACAGAGGGTGATTTTGGCCTCATCTCATCATTTTACCAGGAAGAAAGCAGCTATTTCAAGGAAAAGACTTCCAGAAGTTTGGAAATTTCCACAGAGTGGGGAATTAGAGAGAAATCAATGAAGTGATGGCAAGAGAGTCAGAAGGGTCCACTGAAGTCATTCAAGTCTTTCAGGAACACAGAGATGAATGTAGATTTAATTTAAGCCTGTGGCCAACTAGTGTTTTTAATCAGGGAAACAACCGGATTTGTTTTGTTTTAGAAAAAAATTTCGTGGAGAGATGCACCAGGCGGGGCCAGGGAAAAGTTTGCCTGGGGACGGTGCGAGGAGTGCAGAGCATGCGAGGACCAACCCCAGCCTTGTCCCCCGAATGCAAATTGCAGGCTGCAAGGAGAGTGATGTTGGGCAGCACTCCATATATTCTCCAAACATAAAGTTGCTATTCTTCTGTAGAAGGTGACGCTCTGTCAACCAAAGACAGATTTACTATGCCATGGGAAAACCTTACATCTTTGGAGGAGAATGAATGTTGATGATAACTTTGCAATTCCAAGGTAAATTTTTGGTGCCTATCTTGAGGAGTTGAACTCATCACCTCGCGCTTGCCAGGCAGGTGCTATGCTGCTGAGCTAAATCCTCAGTCCCATGTCTAAAATTTTGTAAGAGGCACGCACATCAGGACCCCGCCACCATTACAGATGGAGTCCTGGCCTCCCTGCTCCCGTGGCAGAGAGGTTTACACTCGGAAGCCCCAGGAACTTCTCTGGCTGTGGGTGGGGAGAACGGACTCTCAAGCTCACATGCCCTGCACTGAGAGAGCCAGTGTTCTGGGAGCATCTGAACCCCTCGGCTTGAGTCTGTGCTCGCCCACACCACCACAGTTCCCAGCTGAAAAGTGCAGAGAGAGCCAGGTATTTCTCAGCTACTCCCTGAGGGCAGAGCGCGTGCATCAGGACTCCGCTGCCATTACAGACGGTGTCCTGGCCTCCCTGCTCCCGCGGCAGAGAGGCGGTTTTCACTCGGAAGGCCCAGGGTCTTCTCTGGCTCCAGGAGGACCGAACAGACTCTCAACCCTGCACGCCCTGCGCAGAGTGATCGAGTGCTCCAAAACGCACTGACCCAAGGTGCAAGTCTGAGCTTTGCCTTTGCCCAGACCCCTTAGCCAGTCGAAGGCTGGGAAAGTCTGTGACTGCTACACATCTGGGCTGCATCTGGTTCCTGTATGTATCCTGATCTGACTGGAGACATAAATTCAGGTAGTTCACAAACTGTAGATCCTGCAGTTTGTGTCTGAATTATATCTGTACCCTAAATTACCTGGGGACATAGGTCCACAGACTGGGATTGCCACACCAGTGCAACACAAGTCAGGTAATGCACGTGCCCTATACTGCAAGGGGACACTGGATCAGACAGTCGGCCATCAAAGGACACAAGTACCTGTGTCTGAGATTGGAGATAACTAGATACAAATCAAAAACTGCCAGAAAACCCAAGACTAAGTAACACTACTCACAGGTCACCCAGGGGCAAACCTGAACAACAGGAAAAGTAGGGTCACTAGTAGTTTTGGCTGAGCAGCTACTGAAGAGGGAAACTCAGCTTTCACCGACCAATAGAAAGCATGCCAAAACAAAACAATAAAACACTATCCCAGAACTCTATCCTAATCAGAACAAGTCCAGGAGACATCGACATAGGAGAACTTGGTAAACACATGCCTGAAATAGCTGAAATGATTGCAATGGAAATAAAGAAACAACTCCATGATGCCATAGAAGAGGTTAGATCACAAATAATTGCTCAGGCCAAAAGTGAAATGACAAGAATAATGAAGGAAAGGATCAAAAAGTCTGAAGAAGAAATATATAAGAAAATAGAAGAACAAAGGCAAGAGTCAGAAGCATTCAATGAAAAACATAGAAAGGACTTAGAACACATGAACCAGTTTTGAAGAGACTTCCAGGAAAACAAAGCTGCCACTGAAAGCTACCAAAACCGCTTGAATGAAGCTGAACATAGAATCTCAGACCTTGAAGACAGCATAGCAGCTAGCGACCGTGAAAGAACGAATCTCATAAAACTAGCAAGGATCCAGGAAAAGTCAATTCAACAGCTGCAAGATGAGGCAGAGGAATAATGTACAAATTATAGGAGTGAATGAAACAGCAGGAAGCAACATGTCTGCCATTAAAAGATTATTTGCAGAAATCATAGCAGAAAATTTCCCAAGCATGGAAACAGAAC